TGTGACCTGCTTCTATAGCTCAAGCACAGCCGTGTCTGGGTCTCTTCTCTTATCTTTGTCAGGGGTTTTCAAGGCCAGCTGTCCTCTTGTCTGCTGCCTTGCCAGTGTTGCTCTGCTTCCACTGGTAAAGTCGAGGTCAGGGTCAGATTGCTGTCTGGAGGCTAAGAGGTGACGTCAGTGCGTAACTTGCTGGGATAGTTAATCTCCTGCTAGGAGGATATAGTTTAATAATGAACTCAGTAGGGAGACAGGGATACTTGAGATCGTATACTGCACGCTTTCCTTTAGGAGATAGGATACCAACGGGAAATATCCTACAATTAATACTCTCCTTGCCTACATGTATATTCAACAGAGTCAGGATCAGATCCCTTCTATGCTTGTAACTGAATGAACACCATTCCTACTTCTGAGGTAAGTACGCTTCTGTTCCAAAATAAATTTGAACGTTATTGACAGAGTAAATTGTATATTTTTTTTTAAAAAAACTGAGTAACTGGTGAGATAATATTTTCACATGTATCAGGAAAAACAGACTTAGATTCTCTTATGTTTTCTATGTGGAATAGAAAGCAAGGACTGTATTTCAGCTCACCTCTTTGTAACATTGGTAGAGCTAGTGTACATTTCTGATATTTGCATGAAGCTAAGTCTCAGTATTTTGTATATTTATTATTATTGAAACAAGGTATGCTCTCCTCTTCAGCTGGCTAAATGCTGAGCAACTTACACATCAATCAAAACAAGAAAACTCCATCCCTGCCCTCAGGTTTACAATCTGAAAAGACAAAAGGTGGAGAGAAAAGGAAAATGAGAAAAATCAGGTACAAGTCCTTAAATGTTATGAGGTTTGTGGAGTGACCAGCTTTAATGCAGTGGAAATGTTATAATGCAGCCAAATATCGCTAGTCTGCATTATATGCCAGTGCTAGTCTCTAACAATAGAAAGAGATCAAGAAGGACTGATTCATCTGCTGAGCCAATAGTGGCCCAGTTTCCTAACTCTTCCTTTGTTACAGCTTGATAGAATGGCTACCAGATGACACCTGGGGAGAAATCCCCTCAGGAAAGGCTGACTGGTGGCCCTGCTTTCCTATACTGTATTATCATAGCAATATCTGTGCAAAGGATCAAAAGCCTACAAATAATTCCTTGCAAATAATATTAATGTTGTTATGTAAGTAAAATAACATTCAGGAGCTCCCTCACAAAGGCTGAGGAAAGAACATCTAGCTTAAGGTTAACACCAGGATTTCAGAGCTTCTAAAAATAAAGCACAAGATTACAAATTGTGTCAAGCCCACAGATAGAGAGGACCTTTAAGAAAACACCTCTCTTATCTGATGCCTTTGCTTAATCTCCAGTAGTTTTCATCAGGGCAACACTACAGGTAAGGGGGACTTTATATTGTCTACTGATAAGATTAGCCTGGAAAAGACAAGGTCATTCTGAAAGAACATATACAATAGTAGGCCTGTATGCATCCTCCCTGGTGCCCACCTTAACCATCAAGACTGTCAAAGCAGAGAAAAGGATGGGCACATGTGGCTCTTGAGAAATGGTTGGACTGCCAAGTCCCATTATCTCCCATCCTTGGTTATGCTAGCCACAGCTAATGGGAGCTGGGAGGGGGGGGTCACAGCTAAATCAATGCAGTGGACAAAATGCTGTAGCATCTTTCAGTCCTTTCTTATTCTTGTCTAAATTGTCACAGCAATCAGCCTTTGATTGTGCCTTCCTCTTGCCTCCCGAATATCCCGCATTCTTCTAAGGCTCTGTAGTCAGCAGTAATTTTGCTTGCAGTTACGATGATGAAGCACTTTCTCATGGTAGATACGGTGATAAAGCTCACATGTACTTTTTAACCCCTGGAAGGAAACTAAGTACTTGACAGCCTCAGAACTTATCCCAAGGCCTGATCTCTGCAGCTTTTTGAGTTGCATACATCTTGGTATTTGATGCTTTGCTAGGATTGCAGAAAGACCATAAAGATTGGTCCAGTCTCTAGTTACAGCTACAGAGGAAGCTTACAAATTTACTTTTATGGGCGATAGTTCCCAAAAAGCCCAGCGTGCCTGATGACTGATTCTAGTTACAACTCCCTTGTTTTGTTCTGTTTTCCCCATGCGAGCAAGTAAACATTCTGATACTATCCTCATATTACAGGGACATCTCTCAGGGATGGCCCACCATTAGGTAAAATGAAGCAGCTGCTCGAAGCACGGAAGTTCCAGGTTTTAAGGGCAGAATGTTGCTAGTTATTTCCTTTATTATTTCCAGCAGGGAGGGAGGCGCATGTGGGCTTTTGTGCCTCAGTTTCCAAGGTAACATGGCTGGTTTGGAGAATCACCTGCCCTGTCTGTAGTAGGGTGAGGAAGACCCACTTGTGGCTTTACCACAACCAGCAAAATGATTGGCCTTGTCATTTCCCTTTCCCTTTCCAGTGAAAGAATTCCAGGAAGCCATTAAGATATAGGATTCTTTGGAGTGCTTTACTGTATAATGCAACAGCTTCAGAATCCTTTCAAATTCTACGTAAAAGGTGCCACCAACACCGCCAAGAGCAGAAACTCTTATTTGTCTTCTCCATCTCCCTACTAACGTTCTTTGGAGACTTGTGTCTAAAATGTGTTTTAAAAATACTCCCAGTAAAACTCTTTTTGACATAGTTTAGCATAGTGAAGGACCAGGTAGGCCGGTCTCATTAAACTTTGGCCGGAGGGGTTACACCTATTCCTATTTTCTACCCTTTGCCTTGGTGATTTAACCGGGGTCCACGATTTCTCTTTCCAGGTTGATGATCGGCTGAACAGAAGCTTTAAACCCGCTGATCCGCTGGCTGGCTTGGGAAGGCAAATCCAGCTCTCACACACTCTTAACTCGGAGTGTGTTTGTGTGTATGCCCCCCCCCACCGTTCTTTCTGAGACTGCAACTGAACGCACAGCCCATATTTCCAAGCCAGAAAAGGAAGGCGCTGAGGCTGCGGCGGAAAACTTTGGCTCCTGAAAATCTTGCTAACCTTTCGCATCCGCTTGAAAGCCAGCGAATCGAGCTGCCTGGGAAAAAGAAAAAGAGAAAACTGCTACTGTCCGCTGACGATGCCCAAACTGTTGTATTATTTTGGAGGAGGGAAAGCCTGTTTGCTCCTTTGATTTTATTTTATTTTTTTGCCTCCGCTTTCTAAAAATTTTTTAGTTGAAATCGTTTTCCTTGACCGATCAATGGTCTTCTTGTATCTCGTTATTTAAACAAGCGGGTGGACGCCTATGAAAACAAACGAGAAACTTTCCTTCCTCGCGCCTTGAGCGGAAAGTGGGAGACCTGAAGCGCTGCCGGAGGGACTGGGAAAAGCCCCGCGCGTCTTTCTCACCCCCGAATCTCTCCCACTCACGCCAAAATCCTGCGAGCTTTTGCCTTATCTCCGCTTCCGGATTCTGCCTACCCTCGAGGGGGCGGCTGGCGCAGA